TAGCAGACACATTGCAGTTATGAGCTGAGGGGCAGCTGCAAACCTTGGCCCTTCTCTCCACAGTGGCAAGGTTGGCAAGTGGAACCCATGGCATGTCCTACACCGTGCCCCCGTGGGCTGTGGCACCACACAGAAGAGCCCACCTTTCCTAAGGGAAGCACAGCTGTGCTCAAGGTCTTCCTCCCTTTTCTCCTATCCACTGGCTGGTCAGCAAAGATGTGCTAGGATACAAATGCCTCTGTGGTCAGTGCAGCTCTGAGGAAAAGAGGGAAAGGAGCACTCCTGGGCTGTCACAGAGCTACTGCAGCTTCTTCTACAGGGCAGATGACTCCTGCAGCAGCCCTGCATGCAGAGGGTACCAAAGGGATTTTTTTGAAAATTCTTCCATGTATCCTAGCAACACCTCTCCGAGGTTAGAGATGTGATGCCTTGCCCACCTGTTGCATAGGAAGCCTGAGGCAAGTTACTTATTGCTTTCTTCCCAGCTCACTCCACTAGTGCGAAGCTGCAGCTATTAAGGAATATGCCACAATCAGCATACCCCAGTCTCGTCCGCTCAGGCTGGGTGTCACACACAGGCGTTCGCATCTCTAAACGTCACAAACTCAGCGCTAGCTCATGCAATGTACATCTGGTCTTGCTAACACAGGCTGAGGGCTTTGTGATTGAGGTAGTAAAAAGGGGGTGGCCTTAATCCCTGCTGCAAAAATGCTTCATGTGCAATCACACACTGCTGAAGGAACTCGGGCCCCGAGTGAGTATCTAAGTAAGATTTCCAAACCTGCTGTAAGTGCAAAAAGTGCACAGTAAACAAAACTGAAAGAAAATTTGACTCCTCCCATGCCCTTCCCTCCAACCTGACTGAGCTGCAATATAATTATAGTAAATGAGCAGTCCTTGTTAAACAAAACAAAACAAAACCCCAAGAAACTGGCTGAAAAGTTGAAAAGCAACCTTTTTCATAAGAGATGCCATTCCTCCCTCCCTCCTCAAAGCACCCCTTAGCATTTTCGATTTCTTGTGGGGGGAAAAGGACGTTAGAAATGTTACAGAAATTATCACAGAACTTTAAAATTTCGTTTAACAGAACACTTTTAAAAAAATTTAATCAAAACTTAGAAAAATGAAACCTGTTACAAAAATGTGTAGAAGGGGAAATTTACAATGGATCACTTTCTACACCCAGTGAAGATGGTCCTTGCCTTAAGATTCTCCTGCCCAACAAATTAGATTTCCTTTCTTTGGCTACAACTGACCAAATCCTTTCAGCTACAACATGCATTTGTCACTTGAACCTCAGTTTTATTAATTTATCTGCATTCCTG